GCGTGTCCGGTCCGTCAGCCCCTTTCCCGCCGGCGCCGCGCCGCTCGCACCGAGTGTCTTATCCGTTCACACGGGCGGCCTCCTCCCACGCCGCCGGCGGGCGGACAGCGGCAGCAGACTGGGCCCTGCGTCCTGTCCCACGAGCTCTGCGTCCTGTCCCCGCGCCCTGCATCCTGTCCCGCGAGACTGACGTCGGCCTCGACTTTCACGGCAGCCGCCGCATCTGCAACGGAAACGGTCACACGCCGTTCGTGTCCGCGAAGTGAAAGTTTTTGCTCAAGACGGCGCTGTTTTGCGGCTTGTTGACGTGCAGGGTGGTCGTTTAGCCGGCGTGCATTTTCACGCCACGGATTTGACGCCGACTCGGGATGGGAGACGGGAGCCGATCGGCCGGTCCGCGCGAGTGCCACACGCGGCTGGGCGGTTACCGTCGACCGCAGCCACCGGAACAGGGGCGACGCTTTCCCCGTGGGTCTCTCCCTTCTCCCGGCTGTATAAAACTACAGAAACTCGCTGTGAGCGTCGCGTCACCGCCGCAGCGGAACGAGAGCGGCGCTGCACGAGGTCGTCTCGCGGCGGAGGCGGGGTTGGCACGCCGAGAGGCGCGCCCTGCCGACACCGACGCGTCACGGTCGGCGGCCGGCGCGCGCGGTCGGCGCCGGCAGGTGGAAAGCACCGCACGAGCCGTCGGGTATGGGGCGCGGCGCCGCGCGCCGACCCGGACGACATTGTCGCGCCGGCGTGCTCGCCGGTAACGGGAGCCCGGCAGTGAGCGGCGCCCATAGTTGGGATGGCTCCGACATTGATAACGGACGGGCCGGAGGTCGGGTCACAGCCGTGACGTGTCGGCCCTGTGAGCAGCACCGCGGCGCGGCGCGCGGGGCCAGACTGCCCGTCTCCGGTATGCCGGATCGGCTCAGTCAGCTGCGTGCCTTCGAGGAGTTCCGAATATTTCGGGTGGATGGCGTCGTGGCCTGGGTACGGGTTCCGGAACGAAGAGAGCTGTTGGCGGCCCCTGGCCCCGCCGCCCAGGTACGGATCAGACACTTGAGATTGGGCGTGGCCTCGCCCCGAACGTCAGCCAGGTAGCGGAGGCCGATCATGTGTAAATGTGCCACTTAGGCCAAGGCACGTCCACTCCGGAATTTCGTTGTCTGTTTTTGCGGCGGTCAAATAATAGTGCTACGGTGGTCGAACTTGTCATGGTTTCAGGCACGTAACGGTTGCACCTCTAGTGTATTTCGGTAGAGCCGCGGAGATGGCAGAGCAATTGAGAATACCAACCTCTAAGTGAGACCTGAGCCGAGTCCGTCCCTAAGGGGGGTAACTGATACCCACGGCGGCCATTATGCGCCCTTATGGTAACTGATACGCACAGCCGTCATTACGCGCCCTAATGGTAAGGCGAGAGAGTTTTCCGTCCATCACCGCCTTTTGCGGATCATTGTGTCACGTTCTGGCTTGCCGCGAAGAGAAATAATGCAAGGCAACAGCGGAACGGCGCCAGTGCATTAGCGACATTGATAGACGAAAAAAGAACGGACGAAAAGAACTGGCGGCAAAACCGTGCATCGTTCACGTGGCGGTGACCGATGGGTGGCCGGCGGGAGCGACGGGGGGGGAGGGGGCATGAGCTCGCTCAGTCCGGCCCGTGTCGACACCGGGCCGCCTCGCCGCCGATGCTGACGCTACGCATCAGCATGCGAATGCGGACTCCATTCAGCGGCGGGGACACCGGACGCTGTTGCAGGCCACAATGGCCGCGGCCGGCACGCAAGCGCGCCATCGGCGGCGCCGGCGGCGCGGTGACGTCACTGGCCATCGAGTGGTGCCGACGGGGCACCACCCGGCCGAGCCAGCCGGCCGTCCACGCACTCTGATCGGTGTGCCCGGAGTCGGTCGTCACTGGCCCCGTGTCTCGCTACACACGCTCTGTATGCCGCGGAGTGTCTGCTGACGTCGCGCCGGGACTGACCTTCCTTTCGCCGGTGGCCGGCTCATTTCATTCCAGGTCATGCCCGGCCAGCGCGCAGTTTCAGTTCAAATCTCATGCATCAGTCATTTCGGGCCGTTTTAATGACTAACTGCTAATAGGTCGTGTGTGAGGCAACAGTGACTGGCGGCTGGGCCGGTATGTGCGCACGCTCCGGCCATCTCGCGGCGGCGCGACGCTCGTGCGGCTCGTCCCGCCCTCTGGCCGATTGCGATCGAGGGTGGCGGCGGTGACCCGGCCCGCGACCTGGCCTCCGGACCGCGCGAGGCCCGGCCACCGCGCGAGGCCGGCCTCCGCACCGCGCGAGACGTCCGGCTCCGTCGCGCGGTGACAGACGGACCATGCCGGAGCAGGTCCGCGTGAACGGGTGCCGCCGGTCCCGCGTCCCCGCCCGCGCCCTGCTGTTCCGCTCGGCGTCTCCCGCCAGCGCCGCCGCTGACATGTGTAGAATGTGATGCGTATTCTACACCGACGTGGCTGTAGAATACGCATCATAGGCATGTACAGCTGAGGTTATGTGCGCTTCGGGCTCGCATCAAAGCCATGGTTAACGGCAGGTAATGCGTAGGCAGGGAATGAATACAGGCAATTTGGGAGCTCAAATAACTTAACCATGTTCGCATTTGTGCGAGGAATGGCACGTCTGGAGCGATGTTATCAAAGGAAACTGTGGACAACTCGCCAACAACCGTGGTAATGCCCATCGCGTCACATAAGATCACATCACATCACATCACATCACATCACATCGCTCATGCGGCCTCCGCACAATAAGATGCCGCCGTATGTACCTTGCTAAGCCGCTGTGACCGGTGCTCCACGTAACATGACGCGCACCAGCCAATCAGCGCCGGTTGACCTGACCGTGGGAGGTCGGCCGGTTACCATGCCGAGTTCACCAGCACGCTCCTCGAGTCCTGGACGGGCCTTGTCGCCGTGGACCCTGTCGCACGCCGCTCGTAGCGGGTTGTTCTGCGCGGGGCGACGGTGGCGCCCCTGCGGCTGCCGCACCCGGCCCGGCCCGCCGGGACTGCGACCGCCCCGGCGCCGACGCTCGCGCCGACCCGGCGGGGCTGCGCGGGGCGGGGTGCGATCGCACGCGCCGCCAGCAGCCCGTGCTGCAGCAGCCGCGTTCTGTGGCTCCCCTGACGTGGGACCGGCCCGCCTGCAAACACGGCCGGCCTGGAATGTTGCGCAGCGCGCAGACCTTGTGATCGCGGCGGGCGGTGAAAGGGCCGACACGCGGCCCGCCCGGTCGCCACCGTCGCCCGGCCCGCCCAGTTGTCATCGTCGCCCGGCCCGCCCGGTCGCCACCGTCGCCTGGCCCGCCCGGTCGCCACCGTCGCCCGGTCCGCCCGGTCACCGGCAGCGCACTGTGTCGAGGGCAGCAAAAATATAGTTGGACGGTGGCGACCGCTCTGTGACGGTTAAAACAATATTTTTGCTTGACCTTTGTTGTAGTAAAGCCCCTTTGCAAATGTTTTGTCACCGGAACCGATTTGCAAGTGTTTGCTGGAAACCAGTAACAATATTCATGCTTGTTGATTTGCTTTGTATCCGGCCGGGTTTCACTGCTTAGGCGCATGGAAAATATTAGGGTTAAATGGTCCCAAATGCTGGGTAATCGACTCATTTATACCCGTAATCCAAGTTTTGGTCGGATTCCGATCGCATCGTTTTTGAAATGTCAGAAAACTTGGCTCATTGTATGCAGAGCATTAGAAGCCCTCGGTTCCTGACGCTTCCGGCGCTACCGCTTCCATGCCTGCCATTCCATTGCACCAAGCACGCTGGTAATCACCGATTCATGGGATCGGGCGAGAGTTGGCTCCATTCTTCTGTCTTCAAACTATGAATGCTGTTTATTTTGCGTCCCACTGGCGAGCCAGCCCGCCGGTGGCGAGCTGCGGTATCCGGCCGTCACGCCGCGGGCGCGGGCCGCCGCAGCGCTCGGTCGAGTGTCCGGCTCTGGCGCTGGCGCCTCGGCGTCGGAGGAGGCTTGACAGTGGCCGTCAGTCGGCTCACATCTGAGCGGCCGCCGTCCGACGCTGTCGGCGCCGTCGCTGTGTGTGTGACAGACGCGCCCGGCCGGCCGTCGGCACGCCGCTGGTGACAGCGCACTGTCCGAACGCCGGCGCTGCTCGGCTCGGCTCGACTGCCTCGGTCGCCGCCGCCGGCCGAGGGCGGACAGCGTACCCTCCCCGGCTGCGTTCGGCCGGGTCTACGGTGCGATGTGACGCGCCGCGTCTGCCGGCTCGAGGTCAGACAGCACGCCGCTTTTTATGAGGCCTGGCGTGCCGATGAGCCGCGCCGATCGCTCGGGGCGCCCACTCAGGGCTCTCCCAGCCCGCAGAGAAGTTTGCTCGGTAAATATTTGACCACGTGATGGCGTTGCCTACCTTTGACCTATTGGCCGATTGCCGCAGTCTCAGCGGCGAGGGCGGTCAGTATTGAACGACGCCAATGCCTCTTGTCGATTCTCGACAAATATCGGAACACCAGCAAGTTGATCAGTGTCAGTAAGAGTTCTCGGTGCTTTCCAGCACGGATAGTTTGGAATTGTGTCGCTCGTCGGCCCCAGCCGTGGCAGGCGGCCGGGCACCAACGAGACGGTAAAGTTTCATAGGCGCCGGCTGGAGTTGGCCGCTCTTTTCCGCGCCGTCGGATTAGATCCCGCTGCAGACGAGCGGGCGCAAACTTGGCCACAACTTTGGGCGCCGCCACAAGTCGGCCGTCGGGGGGCCGCGGCCTCCTCTCCGCATTGCCATGCCCGCCGTTGGCGGCGGCGGCGCCCGCAGACAAGTGTCAATGAGACGCCTCCAATGGCGCTCCGATGTTGTCCGCTGAGCTGTCAGCCGGCGGGCGCGCCGGGCGAGCTGTGCTGACGCCGTGTTGCCCTTGTTCCGCAGGGGAGGTGTCCCTGACGCGAGACCTGGACGAGGTCAGCTGTAACCCGGCGGGCGTGCTAGACGAGTTGTGCTGACGCCGTGTCGTCCTTGTTCCGCAGGGGAGGTGTCCCTGACGCGAGACCTGGACGAGGTCAACTGTAATCCGGCGGGCGTACTGGACGAGCTGTACGAGGAGCTGGAGCGCTTCTCCCGGCAGCCGTCCGTGCGGTCGTCGACGCGGCGCGCCTACGCCAGCCTGGATGTCGGCTCCATGGGCGTAGACCTCAGCTCCGGCCCAGTGATCACCAGGTGAGTCGCCGCAGGCCGTGGCCCGGGACACAGCGTCACCAGGCCACTCGCGCCGCATTTGTCATCAGCGGGTCAGTCGCGGCTGGACTTACCGCCGGGCTGGCTTCACTTCGTCACGTCTCGTGTCCTGCTGTCAGCAGCGAGTTGCAAGTTATAACTGAACTTCTCCCAGCCGATCGGTTAGTATTCACTTTTGCCAAGATGCATTGCATGTCGGTTTGCCACGGTGGGCAACGTCGGTGACAGGGGTCGATGCTAATAGCTTCTGGGCCGTGTAAGCTGAAATTACATCGCCTTTTGCAAGGGGCAAATCAACGTAATCAGCCGGTGTGGCCTCTTATTGAGCACCTCCGCCACCGCCATTCGCGCCTTTATGCAGTCTTATTACTACGCTCATGACGTTCAGCAGCGGCCTGGCCGCAGCGGGGCGGGGGGAGGGGGGGGGGTGAGGGCGTCGGACCGGAACAGCCAATCAGCGGGCCGCCACCGGCCGGCGCTCGCGGTGATGGGCACGTCACTGTGCGCACATCAGACACGCTCGGCGAGACGCCGCTATCTGGGAACGGCTCGTCATAAATCCGTATTTGCGTGCTCGCGGTATTCCCTGGTGAACTTCCAATGCCGTTCGCAGACGTTCTGGCATGACGGCGGCCCGGACTGTGGTATTGACGGCTGCCTGTGGCATTGGGCCCAGGGGAGTCGTTGCGAGGGAGACAATGGTGCGGCCGTTCAGAGCGAAGCAGTTCGACGCTCTCGTCACGTGAAATTTTGAATGTAAGGCAGTAACGTTCAAAGTCTATTTTTGCGGTTTTTTCCAAGACCTCTTGCGAAAATGGTCATCCGAGAAGCATGCGTTTGGTTTGTCATCTCGCCTCTTGCCCGTGGCTTCGACAAATCAGTCTGATTCGGGGCGGCGCGGCCCGCCAAAGCGGCTTGCCAGCGGCCGCCGGCGGGCGTGTTCAGCCCGCCCGTATGGGGGCGTGCGGTGCCAGCGGGCGGCCGTCCGGGCGCCCGGAGCCGCCTGACCCGGCCGCGGCGCGCCGCGCCGGTGCGGGCGCTGCGGGCGCGCCGCTCGCGCCGCACCAGGGCATCATCGGCGACCGGTGGACCGGCGCCGGCTGGGCGGGGCGGGGTGGTGGGCAGACGAGTCGGCTCATACAGAGGAGACCGGCGCGTGCTTACGGAGCGGCTTGTTAGAGATGTATCGGAGCGGCAGATCAAGCACCGCACGGGATCACGCCCGGCAGCAGTAATAAATTAATATAAAGAGTTCTTCCCGACGAATCTTGCACTTTGCAGGCGGGCTTATGCCCCACTGATGCTGCGTCACTCTTTGTCTGCACTGTTCTGATACAAATGTAGGTACCGTACCACATCATAGGGCGCGCATCGGGGCTAGAGAGGGGTGTCGACCTGCTGCATGCCATTGGCAAGTGCTAAGATATCGGCTCTACGACATTCATTCAGGTTGCAACTACGTAGGATATCATGTAGCGTCCGGCAGAGATCGGAACTGTTTTGGACTGCTCCATGGACGCCTCCGATGCCACAGCGGTGCAAGTTTAACCGAGACGTGGGCCCCAGTTCAAACACCCCGCCGGGTATCACACAAGCGAACAGGCTCGAGCGTCGACTCAGGCGTCTCGGGTTCGAATCTGGCCGGGCGCTCGTCTTGCTAGCCTCTGCGTGACACCTGTCTTGGGAGACGACGGCGCTGGCGACGTCAGCGGCTGCTCGCGCGGCGGCGACACTGGCGCCGGTCGGCCCTGGCAGGAGCGGCGCGAGGTCGGCGGCCTGCCTCCGCGGTCGCCGCTGCGACCCTTTACTCCGGCCGTGGGAAAGCAGCGCCGATCCAAGTGCATTCCTCCCGTCGGCGCCACGGGCCTGTCGTCGTGGGACCGTTGGGCCGCACCAGCTCCGAGGCAGCGCCGACCCGTTCGGATTTGTGGCCGTCGCTCGTGAACCGGCGCGGCATCCGAGAACCTCGTCAGTCCTGCGTTCAGTCCGAGCTCTGCGCTCAGCGAATTAGCATGAAGCCTTCCCTAAACGCGTCAAAGAACCTGCTTGGTATGCATTGCGGCGTTTGATGCTCGATTACGAGGCTGGTTAGGCATCGGCGGCGGACGGTCGCGCCGCCCCGTGATGTCGAGCGGGTGGTTATCGACCCGGTCGGCCTGTCGGCCGGGCGCGACTTCTGCGCGTCTCTCCGCCAACTGCGCGTCCGTCGCGCTCTCCGCCTGCTCCCACGCGCGTCCTCTCGTTGCAAAGGCGACCGACTCGAACAGCGAACCCGGCGTAGCCGTCACGTCCGATGTCCGCCGCGTTCACTTTCGCGCGGCACGCAAGCCCCGGGCCGCAGCCGCCGCGGCGAGGGCGCGGCGCGGCGCCTGCGCCGTCCACCGCAGCTGTCGCAGCGAGCTGAGGGTGGCCTCACGGCGGTTACGGTCAGCCGCGGAACGGTGTCGTCCGTGACGGGACGTGTCGGTGAGCCGCGGGATGGTGTCGGTCAGCCGCGGGATGGTGTCGGTCAGCCACCGGGCCCTTCACGTCGCCACTGACTAGGCATTGTCTCGGTCGGCCGCCTGGCGGCGTCGGTGGCTGCGGTGAGCTGTCTGGGCTCGGTTGGGCAGCTGTGGTGGCCCTCCGGGCGTCCGTCCTCGGCTGCGGCGGGCTCGGTCGGCCGCTGTCGTCTGCGGCCTGTGGCGTTAGAAGGACGCCTCTAGTCGCCCTCCGTCGCCGTCCGTCCGTCGGAGCTGAACAGCGCTGTGACGGCCTCCTGCCAGGGGGCAGATGACCGCAGCGCCACGGCGGACGACGTTGACGGCGTGTCTGTACTCTGCTCCGTGTCATCGGAGCACCACCTAATGAATTCGCGCCGTTCTTTGCTGGGTCTGTGGTTGTGTCTTCTTGACTTCGTTGTGGGGAAAGGCGCCGATGCGCCGATGCGCTGATGTGACATCAGCTGTCCTCTTGCTATGTATTGCGAACAGCTGAATGTACGTTCGATAAGTCTTCCACGGCCGTCGCCGGTGGCTCTCACTGTGACGCGACTCGAGATGACGAGGCCGGGAGAGCACCGGTCGCAGCCGGCTCCACGCGCTCCTACGGCGGCGTCAGCTGCCGACGACGGGCGGCTGGCAGATCGACGGGCCGCACCACCGACAGACGGTCCAAATCACACCGGCGGACGACCTGGAGAAACCGCCCACGTGCCACCGACTGGTGTCGTATTGGATCGTGTCCTCCATCTGCGCGCGCGGATTTGGCTGACCATTCGTCGCGGTATTGGGCAGAAGCGGGTCACTTGTGTGGCACGGTGTCTGCGCGTACTTCGGGCGTTGGTATTTGTGTCTCGCGTCGGTTTTACTATCACACTTATTCCCTCCCTCCTTCCTTCTTTTCCATGTGTTTAGTCCCTGGTTTAGGGCAGGGCAGACCGCTCATCGTGTCATGGGAAGAAAGAGGAGGGGTGACAACAGGACGCGAGAGACAGCGTCAGAGCCGTCCTCTCTGGGTGGGAGGTAGAGCCAGAGTCGTCCTCTCTGGGTGGGAGGCAGAGCCAGAGTCGTCCTCTCTGGGTGGGAGGCAGAGCCAGAGTCGTCTTCTCTGGGTGGGAGGTAGAGCCAGAGTCGTCCTCTCTGGGTGGGAGGCAGCGCCGGAGTCGTCCTCTCTAGCGGAGCGGGGTGCCGGCGGACGCCCTTTGACGGTGATTGGCGGCGACGGCAGGGCCGCGCGGACTCACCGTCGTCGCCCCGTGAACGTCACCAGAGCTAATTCAACAATGGCTCATCAGCGGCGGCGGCCGGTGACGGCAGGACGGTCTGTCGGTACCCCCCCCCCCCCCCCTAGCCGGGCCTTTGTCAAGGCCGCAAGGCCGGAGTTGGCGGCGGTCGGCCGCGCGCAGCCGAGTGACGGTCCCCGGCCAGATGTGGGAATCGGCCCGGCCCCACTCCCAGCGCCTTGAACTGGATCGCGCGCTGTGTGGGTACACAGCAGCAGTTTCTCGTCGCGTGCATGTGTGAGGGCTTGGGAGTGGGGGATGTTTGGCATGTATCTTGGCTTGTCGCTAGCAAACATAGGCATTAGTTGTGCTGGGATAGTTTTTACAAGAACAATAGAATCATGTGAACCAAGGGTTTTTTACCAGCGCTTAAGTATTTCCAAGGGTCAAGTCTTAGGACCAAGACCAAGCAAGCTGATCTAGACTTAGATATGCAGAAAGTTGCAGCATGCTCTGCTGATCTATCAATATAGCTGTTTTATTCCATAAAGTCACAGCCAAAGGCAACTAAAAAACGACCATATTCCAGATTATTTGGATTTGTTAGCGTTGACAGGTCGCTTTTTGGAATCATTTGCCTGTTCATCCTTGTATAAATATGACAGGAAAGTTTTTCATACAGACGCAGCGCTCTCAAGCCTGAACGAGCAGCATGCCTTGCTAGGAATTAATTACGAACTTTCCCGGTTTGTGACAGCGTGCCTGATGCTGACCGCCACCTGGCGCTTACAGCAGTCATCCCGCATGTTTCAGCGATTTCGACGAGAACGTAGTCAACAACAACATGGGCGGCGGCAGACGGGCTGGCGGGGACGGTGCTGCCGACCCGACCGAGGCCGAGACGCTGACGCCGGGCCTGATCGGCACGCTGGACGACAACCGGCGCCTGCCGTCCGACACGTGAGTGCCGTACTCGCCCCCTTTCGCTGCGGGCGGATGAGAACAGCGCGTGCAGGCGGTGTCGGGGACTCTGCAGCTGGCTGCTGTGCGCCTCGGGATGGAGTCCGAATGGACTCTGGAAGCAGTTGTATTGTCGTTGAGTCGGAGTGGAACGGGAGGGATTCCAGTTAACCTTTGATGGGAATTCCAGTCGGGGCTGAGTTAACCGATGTATTGATGCGGTGGCACAAATAGAGGCGAAAGTAATGTGATATACTCAGAGTCCTATAGTTTATGCCGGGCCAAATGGAGCCCCGTCATATGTAGGTGTCATGTTATTAAAACAAATGTCACATGTGGACTTTTATGAAGCCCAAAGATAGTTTCGTTCCTGAACTGTTATCATTTGGAATTAGTTGTGTAATTGAAACATAACGCATTAAGGCTCAATCCGAATCTGCTTAAATCTGTGTTGTGCTAATTAGAATCAGAGTGCGATGAGCCCCATGCACAGTGTTTTGGAGTCGAAGTCGATTCCACCGAAGCCTGTTCGAGTTCATATTTGGTCTGTGCAGAGGCATGACTTGTTTTTGAACATGAAGTTTTGTGCATTGTTTAGCCGAGATTAAGCTGATACCGTATAGACAAAGACTGTCGCCACAACAGTTCTCCTTTGAAATGCACCAGGAAGTTTGGAAAAGCCCCAAGCGTGCTCAGCGTAGAGTCCTCCCCATACAGCTCGTTCCATGACAGCATGCTCTTTTTTCTGACGGGTGGGTATTGTGAGTTTATTCCTACAGTTTCCGCCGACGAAGTCGTTCCTGTTTGACTGGGTGTCATTGTCGGTTCGACTGGTAAAAAGTCAGTGCTGCTGGTGCGGACAAGCTGCTGCAATTGGGCGGAATGTTGCGGTGAATACCAGTCTGGGTCGCGGGACTGAAATAAACCGTCATTTGGGCCTGTTGAAGTAAAGCAGGCCTAAGCGTTCCTGCACAAGCAGTAAAGCGGCCGTGGTTGAGATGGCGTGTCGTGTTTCACGTCCGCCTCGGTGCCGGCGTTGGCGGCATCAGCGTCCCAGACAGCAGACGCCGGCCGTCCTGCTTCACGTCCGCCTCGGTGCCGGTGTTGGCGGCGCCAGTGTCTCAGATAGCAGACGCCGGCCGTCCTGCTTCACGTCCGCCTCGGTGCCGGCGTTGGCGGTGCCAGCGGCTCAGACAGCAGACGCCGGCCGTCCTGCTTCACGTCCGCCTCGGTGCCGGTGTTGGCGGCGCCAGTGTCTCAGACAGCAGACGCCGGCCGTCCTGCTTCACGTCCGCCTCGGTGCCGGCGTTGGCGGTGCCAGCGGCTCAGACAGCAGACGCCGGCCGTCCTCCTTCACGTCCGCCTCGGTGCCGGCGTTGGCGGTGCCAGCGGCTCAGACAGCAGACGCCGGCCGTCCTGGTTCACGTCCGCCTCGGTGCCGGTGTTGGCCTCGTCAGCATCTCAGACAGCAGACGCCGGCCGTCCTACTGAAAACGGTGGCGGCCTGTTCAGTTAACCCGCTGCGGACCGCCGCCGATCAGAGATGAATGTGGACCACGTCAGCCAGCTGGAAGTACTTTTCGCTGTTCCTTCCGACCTTCAGCTCGGCGCGCGCCGAGAAGGATCGTAAAAAGCAGTTGGCGGTAACCTGCCTGTGACGTGGCGGGGCTTTTCGGAAAACCTGGGTAACCTAGCGGCAGCGTTGGATCGTCTGGAATTGGCCGAGAGGTTTGTTGATGTCGTAACACGCGTGCTCTTCACGCACCAGGGGCTCTGAAAGGCTATAGTTGCCGTATCTAGGGTTTTCAGAAGTTCAGCCTGCCCGCGTCCTCCTAAAAAGCCCAGCGGTTGAGTCATCGGCTTGGCAGTGACGCCACGTGCGCGCTGTCGGCCCCGTGTCACCACGGCTGGGTGTACCCGGACCGGCCGAGTGAGTCTGAGGACCTGGGCGACCCTGCATTTTGGGACCAGGGCCATCTAAGGGCGATCTTAGGACCTCACATGGTTTGCCGCCACCGGCTCGTTCTTGTCTTCCGCAGTTTGTGCTGTGGACGTCCTCAAAATTCAAGTTAACACTTGACGTCACGTTCGAAATCGGCCGCATTAATGGCATATGATAAACGATGACGCGGGATGACCTGTTGATCGGACCTCTCTGAGACGGTGAGCACCCCCGGCGAAGGCCACCTCGGCGTGCGCGCACGCGGCCGGCCACGCGCTGCCAAATCATCGTTAAAATGCTGGAACACGATGGCCGTCGATTCATCTCCGGATGGGTGCGCATTATGCGGCTGTCCGACATTCCCGACTAATTGTGTTCGCCCACTGCTCGTCGCGGCGGCCGAGGCGGCGCGGCGGCCCGCTCCGGTCGGCGACGGCCGAGGCGGCGCGGCGGCCGAGGCGACGCGGCGGCCCGCTCCGGTCGGCAACGGCCGCCGGCCTAGGCGGCCTCGTGCCAGGCAGCCGCCGTCTAGTCAGAGCTGAAGGCCCCGCCTGCCGGAGATCCACGGGAGGCCGCGTCGACGGGGGGCCGCCGTGATGAGCTGCCCCGGGGCCGCAGCCGGCCCGGGTTGCCAGCTGGTCAGAGGTGGCCGCCCGCCCGGGTGGCCCGTCAGCGGTGCGGCTGGCGCTGGACCATGCCACCGACGCCATACTGCCACCCACGCTCTCTCCGTCCCGCATGGCCGGAATCCTCAGATCGTGAATATTGCTCTGAATGTTCACGGATACGAAACTACGTACTTCCACCGCACAGTGGAACACCCTTTCCTGTACGCCCTTGGCCAGCCGCTTAACCGAAGCCTGATATCCTGATATCGGTACAGTCGCTTCGGTACTGGATGAACATGGACCGCCCTTGAGCTCCAAACTTCACGACGGAGCCCGCGTGCGCGACGGAGATGCTCCGGAGATGTCTCGCCGTGTCAGTCGTGCGAGCCGGCGCTGTGCGTCGGTACGTCGGGCGGATCACAGCGCGATGCTGGCTTGCTGGGCTGGAACGCCGGCGCACCCGACCGCCAGCGCGCTGCTACCGTCGGCACAACCGAGCTGGACCGCTGCCAGGTCCAGGGACGGTGAATGTGGATGTGTGTTCGGCGTGGTTTGTGTTAGACAGAAAGGGTCATTCATTTTGGTTTTGGGCGACGCCGACTCCAAGAATCTCGATTTGTCTGCGAACGAGAACTCGATGTTTTTAACGAAATACGGGATGCATTTTACCGGCTCAAATTAAACAAATCGTTTTCGCAAGGTATTATTAGGGTGAGTTAGTAGTAGTGCGCCCTTTAACCTTCGAAGTCGTTTGCGTATTTGCCTACTTTAACTCGAAATATGAGGCGCAGAATCGATGCCTCTCCAAGCTGAAACAATGGGTGTGGGTGTGCGTCGCCATTTTGGACGCCCTTGAGCCAAACAATGGTGGTGGCGGCGGAAGACATTAGAGGGCCGGTTGCACGCGCTCGGGAGGCCGGGCCGTGCCGTGCGGCCGTCGGCGGCGTGTCCGCGTCGGGTGGTGCGAAGCAGTGCTGCCGGCGCCATCGGCCCGGCCCGGTCCGGCTGGGCTGGCCGCTCACATAGCCGTTCCACCAGCTCCAGCCGATGGCGTCGCTGAAGGCCGCGCCCAAACGCCCCCCCCCCCCCCCTCCCCCCCCCCGGCCCGGGAGCGGGCCGCGTCTAGGAAGTGCTCGCGACGTTCCGGCCTCGACCGGTTAGGCGGGCGGCCGGCGCTGGAACGTGCTCCACATCGGGCCGTCGGGCCGCCTCTGTCCGTCCGAGGGACAGGGGCTGGTGGCAGTCTGCCGGGCGGATTAATCGCCAGCCGAAGGTCGACTATGGATAAGATTCGAGATAGGGCTGAGAGAATGTCGGCAAATTGCTTATCGATCAAGCTGGTAGAGTTTGACGTCGCTACTGTACATATTTTTTTATCTTGATCGTCAAGTTCCTTGGAACCCCCAAACCTGTTGAACGCCACTTGATCCGTTTAAACGTGAATTGAAGCCAATTTGCCTGTGACCGAGAACCGATACAATAGCCGCTTCACGAAGGATTGCTGCGTGTAGCGTTGTAAAATATTTTAACTTTTCTGGAAGCTTGCATGAGTTCGATGTCCAACGTGAGCATAGTCTGATGTTTCTTGTCGGAGGGACCTTGTTTTGTTGGAGTAAGTTTGTTATTAGGAATATTTCTTCCAAAATAGCCCGGGAGGTTAGTCACAATAGCCCGGGAGTCAGGGCACACAGTGCCGGAAACGTTTTCAAGTAGTCCCGAGCATTCCCCGCGGTAAATCTTCATGAGAATAGGTAGTGACTTGAGGTGTAAGGAACGGTCTGACACTGGCTCGTTGCTTTGTTGCGAAGTGCGATCGAGAATCCCCGTCGAGAGCAGCATCATCCGAGTGAGAGATGATGACCGTTGGCGTTGCCCCGCCCTGACAGAAGTTCGTGACGCTTGGACACTGTATAACCATCTCCCCCGAACGCCTCCAGCTTGGTGTCCCGCGATGTTGTGACCGCCTGCCAGTAGCTGAGATGTGCGCGACCGAGGTTCCGATCCCAGGCCCGTGCGGTCTGTCCGAGCTGACGGGTCCGGCCCGGTTCCGTGTGGTCTGTTCGAGCTAACGGGTCCGGCCCGGGTCCGTGCGGTCTGTCCGAGTTTACGGGTCCGGCCCGGGTCCGTGCGGTCTGTCCGAGCTTACGGGTCCGGCCCAGGTCCGTGCGGTCTGTCCGAGCCGACGGGTCCGGCCCGGGTCCGTGCGGTCTGTCCGAGCCGACGGGTCCGGCCCGGGCCCGTGGGGTCTGTCCGAGCTGACGGGTCCGGCCCGGGCCGGAGCGGCCGCCGTCGGCTGCCGCTCAGTCTGCGGGCAGGCGACTCCGCCCGGCTGACGGTGGGACAAACAGACGTGGAGCGCGGCCCGCCCTGCCGTCCGGCCCCGGAGCGGCGCCTCGCCGCGGGGCGCCGCCGCGTCCACCCTCGCCCGGACGCCCACGACGCCCGCCCCGCGGAAGCGTGCCGTCCTGCTGCCCAGCTCCCAACACGCGGGAGCCCGCCCTTCTCTTCCCAACTGTCGTCAGCCGCCACCGGCGCAGATTGCGCGTGAAGGGGAACCGGGCAGGCAATTTGCCGTGGAATCGGCTCAATTATCTCGAAGGCCCAACAGCTCCCACGAAATGATTCACTGAGCCCATTGATTGCACGGTGTCAAGGTCTGCCGATGTCGCCGGGAACGCGGCGCCGTCGGCCATGTCGTATATGCGCACGGCCAACGGCTGTGTGAGTCCCTCGGAGGTCACCACCATCTGATCGGGGTGCGTCTCGCGCCCTGGCAGGTCGCCGAAGCAGCTGTACCACTCGGACATCCCACACTTCACGGGCGAGCTGACGGACGACCTGTACGCGCTGCCGGTGAAGAAGGGCGCCGCGCTGGAGTCGACCGGCGCCGGTGACGCCGAGCCGCTGCCGCCCGGCTGGGAGAAGCACGAAGGTGGGTGCTCGTGCCACGAGCTCTCGCGCCAGCTGGCCGACTGTCAGCTGGCTGCCAGCGCTGGCCGTACGTGACCGAGTGAGCTACCGCCAGCTGGCTGCCATCTCCACCACACGGCATCACTGACCAGTCACCTGGCCATTCCCCCCCCCCCCCATGGCCTCACTGACCGGCCGCTGACCACCTCCCCCACACGGCCTCACTGACCGGCCGCTGATCACCTCCCCCACACGGCCTCACTGACCGGCCGCTGGCTATCTCCCAAACACGGCATCACTGACCAGTCACTGGCCATCTCCCCCCCCCCCCCATGGCCTCACTGACCGGCCGCTGACCACCTCCCCCACACGGCATCACTGACCGGTCGCTGACCACCTCCCCCACACGGCATCACTGACCGGCCGCTGACCACCTCTCCCACACGGCACCACCGACCGGCCGCTGATCACCTCCCCCACACGGCCTCACTGACCGGCCGCTGGCTATCTCCCATACACGGCATCACTGACCAGTCACTGGCCATTCCCCCCCCCCCATGGCCTCACTGACCGGCCGCTGACCACCTCCCCCACACGGCATCACTGACCGGTCGCTGACCACCTCCCCCACACGGCATCACTGACCGGCCGCTGGCTATCTCCCCTACACGGCATTACTGACCAGTCACTGGCCATTTCCCCCCCCCCCCCCCACGGCATCACTGACCGGCCGCTGACCACCTCTCCCACACGGCACCACCGACCGGCCGCTGATCACCTCCCCCACACGGCCTCACTGACCGGCCGCTGGCTATCTCCCATACACGGCATCACTGACCAGTCACTGGCCATCTCCCCCCCCCCCATGGCCTCACTGACCGGCCGCTGACCACCTCCCCCACACGGCATCATTGACCGGCCGCTGACCACCTCCCCCACACGGCATCGTTGACCGGCCTGCTGACCACCTCCCCCACACGGCCTCACTGACCGGCCGCTGACCACCTCCCCCACATGGCCTCAATGACCGGCCGCTGATCACCTCCCCCACACGGCCTCACTGACCGGCCGCTGACCACCTCCCCCACACGGCATCACTGGCCGGCCGCTGATCACCTCCCCTACACGGCATCACTGACCGCCCCCCCCCCCCCGCCGCGTCACGCCGCGGCCGCTGACGGCTCGTTTCACGCGCGCTGCGCTAATGGCTCGTTTCACGCGCCGGCCGCGGCGGCATTGTTTTGAGGACGGCCACCGGGCGCTGAGGCCGACGCTGTTTGCGCTCCTGGCCGCGTCGGTCGGCGGAGCTGCTGTTTGCTCGACCGTTGTGCAACCGGAGTGGACGGCACGGCCAGTCGGGTATGCCGCGCTGCTCGGGCGGCACGCCCGGCGGCCAGGCGCGGCTCGGTCGGCCGGCTCCCACCGCCACCCGGCTCGGGCCGCACGCCGACACGGCGACTGGAAACGGGGGCGGGGCAAATAACGCGAGCGAGTCATACCACCGGAGCGTTAACGGTCGTCAGTGGTTGAAGCTTGAAATAGGTGATTGAGGATAGTGTTGTGAAGGTCGTCATCGGTCCGTCTCGCCTTCACGGGAGCTACTTTTACCATTTGTACCTGTGCATGTGTGATCGGAACATACTCGTGCCCGGAAACTAGCCGGCCTTTAACCGTTCGCATGTCCAGCTAGCTATGAATGGAACGCAGCTGTACGCCAAGTCGTGCGCGCATTTTTAGCGTGAGCGGGACATTGTATCCGTGAAGACGGCGTCCAGACAAGGGTCGCCGTGAAAGGCGTGTGCTCGTTCCTGTTTCAGACAATGACGGTCCGTACTACTGGCACATAAAGAGTGGCACCATTCAGCGCGAGCCGCCGCCCACTCCGGCCGACGACGGCAAGAGGGTGCCGACCAAAGACAGCGAGTCGGTAGGTGCCGGCCTCCCGCCGGGCGGCCGGGGTGGCGCTCGGCCGGCGAGCGGCCGACGGCGGCACGCTGGGTGCCTGGCCCACGCCGTTTCACACCCTCCGAGCGTGCTATCGTGCGGCCTTGGCCGCGGCGCCGCGAATCAGGTGATCGTCGTTTTTGTGCGGCCGGGGTTGGCGGCGGCCCTGCCCTGACGACCGAAGACGGCTAACGGGCCGGCCGAGTCGGCCGCTGCTTGTGTAACAATACACTGCCGCACGCGCACGCACGCCGGCGTGCCGCCAGCGGTGCGGTGCCGACCCGTGAAACGCGTGACCCGACCTGACCCGACCTTCCGCCCATCTCCGGCAAATGAGGCGGTGCGGGTTCGACCGCTGAGCATTGTTACGCAGCGTATTTCACCCGACATGACCTTACCTGACCTGACACACTCTCAGAAGTTTGTCATCTCGAGAGGAAGCGCCGGTTCTGCAAGTAACTCGTGGCAGTACGTGACCTGACTTGACCTAACCAGGCCCGACCTGACGTGACCTGACCCGACCTAACCTGGTCTACTGTGGCCGGCAGAGCTCCGGCATCTCGAGCGGCAGCGCCGGCTCCGGGGTGACCCGTAGCAGCACGAGCTCGGCCATCGCTGACCTGGACCGGCGACACGTCGAGTACGCCGACAAGTGAGTCAGCCCGCCGCGTTACACACCGGGGCAGACGGCGGAAACTTTAACACGCGTTCGGATAGGTGGAGGGTCAAAATGAGATGCATTTTGTGAAGTCGCTGACCTGTGGCAGGTCAAAGTCAAACCATGGCTGTTAGTGGGGGCCATTTCAAGGGAATCGTTCAATGTGATGCAAAAACGAGGTGTTAGACGAAGCCGTACAGATCTGAGATAGTTTCTTAGGCAATCAACCAATTGCATTTAGAATTGCAACCACTTTCATTGACATAATGTCAGACGTAAAGGTCAGAGCCAAGTTAAACCTTATCTGCTTTTTACTCGGGAGCGTGGTTTTTTGGGGTGGTGTCTGGTGCTCTTTCCGAATTTTTTAGTGACGTTGGCTGCAGCAGACATGCTCCATGATCCCTTTAAAGGCCAGAGTAGGTCACTTAGTTAAAATGACCCAGGCCTACGTTTTGATTTCAGGAACATGTCACTTGGCGTAATCTGTGACGGTGTTTGCAAGGCAAATTAGGAGTCATTTCGTATATTTTTGGTCACCTTGATCTTATAAAGGTCAAAAAAGGGTACTGACGCCATTGACCTTTTGCTAAGAACAGGCATCTAGCTTTATGGCGGTTGCATGGCGAGGTCGTGGAGCGCTGAAGATACCAATCAAGAGTCTCACGTTGTTTGAGCTTATTGAGCCCCAAGGTCACGACCAAGGAGCCCCAAATTTTGGCAAAAGTGAGTTCACGTACAGGTAAATCGACCCTGTGAATTTGGTGCATCTAGCTAGCTTAGTTTTTGAGATATCAAGGGTTCAAAATGACCCCCACCCAAGCAAAGGCTATTCAGCCGGCTACCCGGGCGCGCGTGGACGGACCGCTCTGTAACCAGTTTTATAAAGAGAAATTACCACTTCGGGCAGGCCGAAGTAATTTCGGTGTAACTCCCTACTTCCTACGCTGGTTACATAAACCTGTCATCACGCCTTCAAAGCAATTCGTAAAATGCTAATGCTTCAATTGCGGTGCAAACGGTCGTTGCCATGGCAACAATGCTGTCTTTGGGTCAGGGAGATTAAGATGTTAATAATATATACAGGAATACTACTAAGGTTACATAAGTAGTGTGGTTATTTATGGGTTAACTCAGCAATGAATTTGTGATTTGAGTAACAATTAATTCCTAGACTATTTACGATTACTTTTTGATTTGCTGAGGCAATATGCAACTCAACGACAAAAGCTCCCTGAAATAGCTGACTCTGTTCTTACCCTAGGTTATGCGTTTTGTGAAGTTATATCGTTTCTGTCCGTGCCATAGCAAGAAAGAAAAGAAAAATTTCGTGAAACCCGCGATATATGGAAAAGAGGATGGTTTTCATAACGGCCTGCCAGCTTTATCCACCACAGTTCTCGGCATGCGTTTGTAATGTCTACAAAGTTGCAAGGCAAATTGCAGCTGTATTTATTTTCTCACATACACGTTCACGTCCGCCTTTAATGTAATTAAATCGCTTCATTGCTTAACAATTTCTCACTGCAGGCTGATTGTAGGATTTAAATGGCTCGTTTCTATGCTCCGCTATGACCATGCGCCGGCTCCTCTGTGATCACCACTGCCGATTTCACGACGGGCCAGAGCATCTTTTTATT